AACAAAGAGGTGAACTCCAGGGTGGCGGTCGCATACTAGCCTGGCCACCTCATGGTTTGCGTTTCTGCCAGTGATTGTAAGTATTGTCACCAGCCCGAGCTTTATAATGTAACAAGTGATGATTTGCAGCTGGTAATTCTTGTTGGAGCAAAGCTCCAGCACATCATTGCAACGCTTGCTCTGGAAAATGCTGGTATTCGCGGTCGTTACATTGGCCAGGCATTGAAGCCTCGGGACAATCTCTTTTGGTTCAGTAAGCCGGAACTTCTACTCTTCCTTATCCACTTCGTACTTTTCCAGGTCCGTGATAAGGTTTCTTCTGGTATGTTTTGTAACTTTGTATTTCCTTGGTCCAGAATGCATTTGAGCTTGCAACGTTTCTTTGGACTTTGGTAACATTTGCTGTGTTGAGATTTGAAGTTTACATTTTGGCGAGTTTTTTTGCAGTGGCAATTTGGATACGAGTCTTGTCTCATGGCTGATCAAGCGTATAAGAAATACATCTACGTATATGCTCGCTTGATTTCGGGGTAAGGCACTCGAATAAAAAACAGCCTGACGCTTTAAATTTGCTATGGCAGGGTCTTTGCACAGTTCCTATGTAGCTACAGCACCTTGCCCCTCTATGCTCTCGTCACTCAGGTAGCTTTCCTTAAATTTTTTCCCGATCGAGTGTATACGGCAATGGAAGAAGCAACGCGTTGACTCATCACATTGTGGATGCAGATGGGTACAAACTACAAAAAGACAATATTCCAGGAAAGTATTGTGCACTCGCTAAACGTCTGGCGCAAGTCCGCTCAACAAAAAGCCAGACAAGCAGCAGCAGCGGAAGACTCTCACAGCAGTGATCACGACCACGACCATGATGAAACCGTCACGGGCAGGCACAAGGTCTTGAAAAGAAGTGGCTACTCGTCTGTTGGGAGGGAGGAGGATGCATTTGTGGAGGAACACCCGTGTTGACAACACATGTGTTTACGAAAAGGTAATGGTTGGTGTTATAGACTTTGAACGGATCGTGCGTTGCGACTCCGGAGTCCCGCCGCTAACTTTGTTTGTGTAACTTTCAACAGGCTGACTTTGAAAAGCTGTAACTCGTTCCATGTAAGAGTGTGAGCTTTTCTCGCTCGGAAGCTAATCAAACCGGTTCACGAGCAAACGCGCCACTGAATTGACTGTTTACCAGGCCCGATGGAGGAAGAACACTTCTTCTGTGTATATAAGACACTGGAGGCGCGAGCACTGAACACAACTTGAGCAGTTCTTCATCCGATCGAATCGTATCAGAGCAAGGACACAGCGCCTGACAAGAGATCCTGGTTTCTTATACAACGATATCATCACTCTCTTGGAACACAAGTATCAGCAGCAAGAACGTATCAGCAGCAAACGTATCAGCAGCACAAAGAAAAGAGCTAGAGATTTGTTCCTGGAGTGGACGAAAATGGCTCACGGAAGGATACTTCTCGCGATCGCGTTCGTGATTTTGATCAGCGGCAGCGTCCACTGCTCCAGGCTGGGCTCGTTTTCGGTGATGAACCACCAGGCCGAGCTTGGGAGCTCGCTGCAAGGCAGTGAGACTCCGGGAGGTCCTTCGAAATGTATCGACAGCCAAGATGGGAAGTGCCCGGACAGACCGTCGAGCGTGGATCTTCTCAACAACAGGAAGGCTCAATCCGGAGTTGAGATGCTCGTCAAGGATCAGAGCACTCCCGGGCAAGGCCCATCCAAGGACAACCGCGACTAAATGCTGAAACATTCAATTGTATATAAAAGAGCCTGAAATTTACACTTAGCTGTCCTAAACGAGTATTCGGCATTTGTAGGGTTTACGCTGTTCTTTAGCGTTTATCTGGAGCTGCTTCTCCATCTCTGCTCGCTTCTCTGCTATGGACGCGTTGCGATTCGTGCAAACAAGGCGCAACCACAAGATCAAGGACGCTGTGCCTGTTTTGTGGCTCGGCTAGTGACAACAGCAGAGAAGCAAGTGGAGATGGAAAGGTAGATTCCAGAAGATCATCACACCCTGGTAAGTCAAAAGAACAAGCGGCTGGTTTTAAGCTGGATCATGCAAGAGGCAAATCTCAATGTCC